GGGCGGGGAGGGATTTGCAAGCACTGCCAAACCTGTATTTCACTCTGCTGGGGCTTTTGGGGACAGTTGATGTTTATTTCTGAATATGTCAGGCCAACCCACGTGAGGTCAATATGCAGACAGCAATTGCAGAGACTTCCATCACCTTAAGTGCCCTTTCCTGGCCTTTCTCTGTCTTGTTGTCTCACTGGGTAAGGGAATGGCATCCTGTGGCCACAGCTCCCCATGGTTGGTATGTACAGAGGACAGGAGGTCACTTCACCTGAAGTGATGGAGAGCTGTCGGGGAAAAGTAGTGCTGAGCTTGTTGCATCGCCTCACTTTCCCCATCACCGCTCAGACCAACTCATCCCTCAGGCAGAGGAGAACAGGAAATTTCTCAGCCTTCTGTTGCTGCTGAAGACTAACCAGAGCCTGGAGGCTTTTGTAGGTCTGAGTGGAGATCCCCTTCGTAACCTAAAGCAGAGGATGGCTGAGGGGCCTGACGTTACCCTCGCACAGCGCTGGGTGGTGAAACAAGCCCTTGGCAGCACTGCCCATATCTCAAGAGCATCCTGCAAGCTCCAAGCCCTGTCCAAACCCTAAAGAAGCTCTCACCAGCCCTGACACCCATTGTTTCCCCAGTGCAATGTATCCCATGCAAACAACACACAATTAGGCTTCAGTCACCATTTGCAAAGCTCTGATCTGCTTTGGTAAATGACTGCTTAAGAATAAATCTCAGCTATTTTGGGCAATTGCTAGGCTACAGGGTAAGTGCGTGCAGCATTTTCTTTTAGGAGGTATTTACAACTCGAGCAGGTTTTGCGACCATGATTGTCCTGGGCTTGTAGGTATGCAAAGGGATGAGAAGTGAAGGGTGAAGTGGGGTGCACACCTGTGGGCCTGGCTTTGGGCACCTCTGCTGCTTTTGACACCACCTCAGTGTTCCCGAATAATGTGCCAGGGAAAGGGAGGACATGCCAGGGCTCCAGCCTACGTGAAATGAACCCAGTACCTCCAGGAGACAATTGCACAAGAATTCAGTCACTGCTTTCTCTTTATGCCTTTGGGACCCGAAACAGAAATGTTGCCTTGCTCAGAAATGCAGGTCGATGGAGCAACACGGGTCCCCAGCAGCCATGCCTGCTGCTTGCCTGCTCACTGCCCTTGCACCAGCTCTGCAAGGTGCTAGGTGGTGGTGTTGCATTGCCGGGAGCTCGGGAAGACTTGTAGGAGGTACTATTTAATATGCTCAGCATGAAAAGCAATTGGACAGTGAAAGTCCCCTTGAAATCCCCGTGACAGGGGCTGCTGTGCCCTCAAACACCCTCCTTTCCTAGAAGAGAGGGAGCCCTGGGTAATTTAGCATATGAAAGGCTGCTTGTGAGAAAGATTTGCTGGAGAGATACTAATAACCAACCTCAGAGATGGGAGCACGGCAGTTTATTCCCTGTGCTACTGTGTGATTCTGCCTCCACCTTCCCATTTGCCTCTCAGGGTGTGATTGCTCCAGATGAGGATTTTTTTTACTGCCTGCTAGTGTTTCAGTTCTTCTCCCCACAAAAAAATAATCTTTGTGGCCCTGCATTGGCTCAGGGCTGGCATTGCAAATGCTGGCACTGACAGGGCAGACTTACCTTCCTGACCCCCATGCTCTCCAGCTTTTCCTCCAGCACATCCTCCAGGATGGGGCGAAACTGCTTCAGGAGGTTTGGGTTTCTCTGTAGGGCTTCCAGCAGCCTCTGCTTCCCACCCAGGGCAGCCTCCTCCCTGTCTGGAATAAAGGCGGGTGCTGGCACCAGCACAGCGACATGTGGTATGCGTCTTGGGGAGTGGGCTGGTGGGTCCCTCCTCCTCTTTTGGGACATGGGTCCCACCAGTTCCAGAGCAAGCAACTGGTTGCTCTCAGCAGACTATATCCCTCTACAAAGGGGCAACTTCCTCCTCTCATTTGATTAATTTCTGCCCACAACTTTTCCAAAATCCCACCCACAGCCCAGCAGCTGCCTGGGACAGCTTTCCCAGATGAAGCGCTGGCAGCGGGGCTAGTCATGGTGCTGCTGTTCTCTGCACAGCTGAGAGGGAACCAGTGAGCTCATCCCCTCTGGCCCCAGCCCACCACCTCATCACCACCAGCTTTGCCCAGCATCCCCTCGTTCTCACCGCACAACACCCCAAGCTGAACGCCAGCTTCATCCTGGTGCTCTTGGGGTAGGGATGTTCCCAACTCCAGTACCCACCTGATGACTCTTCATCAACCACCACTTTGGTCACCTCCCGGGTCACTGCAGGGAAGAAAGAAGCCTGTGAGGGTCAAAGAGGAGCTGAAGCCCCAGCGCAGAAGCAAGCACTGATCATCACCTGGTTTTCCTACACGGAAAGTATGGACACACCTGTCCCTTTGGGGATCCAAGGCTGGCCCAGGTCTGGCACCAGCCCTTGGAGAACATCCCTGAGGGAAACCCCAGGGCACTCACCCACCAAGGCCACTGGCTGGAGGATGTCAGTGGGCGAACAGCCCTCTGCTACCCCTCGGGGCTGGGGTCAAGGATGCACCCCTTGGCTATTGGCTAACAGTCATCCCTGTTTTATGGCCTTTTTTGTTTTCTGAGCAGCAGCACCTGACTGGGTCTGTGGCTTTGCCGCAGGCATTAGGGAGCTGAGAAGTCCCCATTTTTTTTCCCTGGCATTTGATTATAGAAAACCCAGGCTGTAAAGAAGAAACCACAGCATGCCTCAGCTCCTTATTTTTATGCAAATAACCACAGGCATCATTTTGGAGAATGCAAGGTCATCCATTTGCTGTGAGCATTTGATTGAAATCTCATTCTTTTGGGGTATGGCTACAATGCAAAACCCACCCAAGAGACAAGTTAGTTTTGTGCCAGTGACCAGAGCTGTGGTCTATGCTGTTGCAGCAGATAGTCAAGGGACTGGAAGGTGTCCACTCCATGGCTTTGTGTGAGAAGACATACTGCCAGTTCCCTGGAGAGGACTCCATGGCACGCTTTTGTAGAGGGAGACAGAGAAGACATTGTGGTCCGAAGGGCTGTTAGCTATGAAAGATTTATCTAGACCCAAATTGATTCACTTTAAAAATGCAATCATTACCTTCATGTTTGCTTGCAGAGAGCAGCTTGATCTGTAAAGAAATAGAGTGGGCATCATTCAAAGACCATTTCTTTGTCTGTAATTTTGGGTAATTTGGGTAATTTTTCCTCTCTCTGCAAAGTATTATTATTAAATGCATTTAAAAAAAGAGCAGAAAATAGCAAGGGCCTAACGTGGGCACATACACTCCCCAAGAGCTATTTACCTTAAGCAGACCATACCTGTAAGGGGTCAGCTTAGGCACTTTCCTTTCCATAATATGATCACTAGCACATCAGATGCCATCCTGTTATACCCATGTGCTATTCACAGATCTGATAACAAGTAAAAGATGCTCCAAATTGTAACGCAAAGTGTTGCTCTGGTGATATATACCCCAGTGGGCATGGTTCTTGCTGGATGATATTCATGTAACACTTTGTGTTTAATGAGTGCAAAAAAGAGCCGAACGTAGCAAAGCATTACAGAATGGGCTTGAAATTAGGCTTACTCTTAACTCAGCAAATATTTTAAGGCTGCTTAGAGTTAAACATCTGCTTAAACCCTCTTGATGAACCAAGGCCGCCTCTTTTTTTTTTATTTCACTTGCCACCTTCTCCTGGGACTTCGTGACCTTGGGCTGCTCCCTGAGACAGGTGCTGAGGGCATCCATCTGCTGATGGAAATGGTCCATAACTGCCCGCTGGTCCTGGGATGGGGTGGCACAGAGTGTCTTGTTCTCTTTCTTCAACTGAGAGGGGCAAAAAAGGAACAAGATGACTTGAACATGGTAAAAATGGGTTTGGAGCCACCTCTTCCCTTCACCAGCGAGAGCAGCTCTCTGGATTTTTATTCATTATTGAGATGCCCTCCAAAGGGCAGATCTGGCCTTGCAGAAGATGTACGGTCAGCTTCAAAGTCTACTGGTGGCAAGCTTGTGTCTTCTCATGGGTTGTGACAGGACACAGCTTTGGTCGCCGCATGTCATTTATTCTTTCCCCTCGATAACCTAATAACTATACTCTGTTGTGCTAGGCTTTGAAGTCCAGCCAAGGTGCACTTTAAGTATGCAGCCCCGCTCTTTCTGTCTACCACCTGCTGGGCTGATCTGCATGAGAGGGCATCTCTGTTTTTTCTGAAGAGACCTAACATCTCAGGGGTTTGAAGCTAAGGTGGAGAAAAACCATAAGGGAAACATACAGGCCTTTTCTGAGCGAGATACCTGGGAGCTGCCAAGGACATCTGGCACCCACCTGGACCTCCTGTGCCCGGTTCTCCCTCAGTGTCCGCCTCTGCTCTGCCCTCTGCCAAATTAAGCACACAGGCATTTACCTCCTCGGGTTGTGGGCTGGGGGCTTCTTGTGGGCATGGGCACCTGATCGTGTTCATAGTCAGAGAAATTCAGCTTCCCTTTGGGTTCTGAAGGACAGCTGGCACCATAACAGCAGTGCTGTTCCCACCCCACTCCATGTTCAAAGGTACCATGCAAGGTAAAGCCTTCTTCGGATGTTTTTAGATGTTGAGAAGACAGCTGATTCATGGGTAAATAAATTTCTTCTGTTTATTTGGTACTTTAAATGCTTTTCCATGTGGTGAGCTTCTGCAGTGCTCTATTGAAGATGGGTTTCCCTGCAGCAAGCAGGGCTGACCTGGGACTGTGACATGCCCTCTGCACCCTCCAGGTCCCATATCTGGACTCAGACTGTCAGTGCTCTACACCAGCAGGAGCCCATTGCTGCCTGAACCTGAGCTGAGACTGGACATCCACGAAGCAGATGCGCACGCTGGTGCATGGATGGGGCCTAACTCCATCCAAATGCACCTCCACCTCCTGGGATGCACAGCAGGGGTAAGGACACGGGTACCACGCTGCTCACCTGCACTGCCATCCTCTTCCTCTTGCCCCACAGCTCTGCCCGGCTTGGTGTCTGGCCCCATGCCTCCTTGGTATCGTCTTTCTGCAGGGTCCCCAGGTTGGACACTGCCGCCTCTCTGGCCTGAAGCTCCTGCAGTTTCTGGAGTGGGGAGAGGAAGGAGCTGTGTGTCCCACAGGAGGATCCACTTTCCTCCTGGAGAGCCCAACCTCGGCCAGCCACTGCTTCCAACCCAAAAATGTCTGCATGTCCCAGGACCAAAGAAATGAGGCCTCTTTGGGCTGTGAACCTGTGATACCACCTGCACCAGGTGAAGCAGCAGGCTTGGACATTCTGTCACCTGCCTTGAGGAGCATGTGGGGTGCTTGCTCACCCCCTCCATGGCACTGTTCCTGCTGGCCATGTCCTTGAATGCTGCGAGGAAGAGCTGCCTCAGGCCATCTATCTCTTCCGGCAGCTTCGTCCTCTCCTCCTCTTTCCACTTTTCCAAATCTCTCCTGTCCTCTTCTTCTCGCTGGTGAGCTCTCTCTGTTTCCTAAAGGAAGTGGAGAAATTGGGGCAGGAGATGTCTTAGCTGCAGACCAGAAGTACCAAGGGCTGGGGCTTGTGCCCTGGTGCCAGTGGGATGAGCACCAACATTCTCATTACACCGATAACTGCTCAGAGCCTGCCTGCACACCATGGGGAGGTCGAGGCAGCACAACCTCCCAGGAAGGCACGCTTACACAGGCCTTATTTCCATGTGACATTTCCCACAGGAATTTTTGGGGGCAAATTTTCCAAAGAAATAAACATGAGCCCCACCATAAAATAGTTTTCAGTGTCTTTTTCACCTGTGCTTTAAAAATGTCCTGTATTTCATCATTTCTCCTCCCCTCATTTTTTTCAAACAGGCAGCAATGCCCTCACCCCATACCTGCTCCCTGCACAGCTTCTCCGCTTCCAGCTGCTGCTGCATCTCCCGCAGTTTTGCCTTCAGCTCCTCCACCTCATCCTCCATTTGCTCCACCTGCTTCATCTTCTGCCTCCCTGCAAAGCTCAGGGAAACAGAGGTGCTGTGAGCAAGGGTGCGATCTGCCAGCTCCTACTGGGATTTCGCTTTGGCTGTGGGGAGGAATCCTACTAAAGTACTCAGCAAAACCACTGCAGGGCTTCAGGGTGGAGAAGCAGGTAGCTGAGCTGCAGGAAAAACCATGACAAACGTGGCCATGCGGCCTCTGATTATTTTTATTTATTTTTTATTTTGGTAAACATGGAGAGATTAGTGGCTCATGGAGCAGTGTGGCTTTGCACTGGGCTTGCTCTCCCAAGCAGCCAAAGCACCCTGCTTGGACATTTCAGGCTGTGCCAGGGAAGGTGCCTCTGGAGCAAAGCTCAACCTGTTGCATTGCATCAGCCCTGGGCTGGGGTTTCAACCTGCCAGCAAACAGCAAAAGCGGCTTTTTTATCTGCCAAGTGCAAGTGCTGGGAAGCTGTAATGAGGCTCCGCGGCTCTCACACAGCACGTTACGGCTCCAGTTGTCAAAGCGTTTCGCAAAGGAGCATCAACTCCTTGCCAAAAAAGGGGCATGGGGAAGGTGAACCCCTCTCCCACTCTAGCAAAACACTCTCCCAAACTCCCCAATGTAGCTCCATCTCCACAGTCCCGTGGAATCTTTGGGTGGAGAAGATCCTTAGGGAAACTGAGGTGCAGAGATGAGCTTTAAATGCTCATGCAGTCTCATATTTGGTCGCATGTCCTACCTGTGCTTGAGGGAAAGGCAGCAAGCAGAAAGCGTTCAGTAAATATTCACAGAAATGCAGAAGAAGAAATGTTATAAGAAGGTGCCTTTAACCTCCTGTGATCACTGTCTGGTTTCCAGCATCCACATCCACTGGGGGAAAACCTGCCTGGGAAAGTGAAGGGAGAAGTTGTCCCACTGCTCACCTGCCTCGGTGGCCTCTGCATGCTGGCGCTGCACATGGGCTTGCAGGAAGCAGTTGTTCATGAAGGCTTTATCACAGAGGTGGCACTGGAGAAGGGGGAAAAGTCAGCAGAGGGACTGGGATCTGCAGAAAGGGGCACTTCCCATGTCCCCTGCCTGGCACGCAAAGCTTTGCTGCCTTAAAGCAAAAGAGACCTCAAGAGATGCGGCTGTCGTGTTGGAGGTACATAGATGGAAGGTACTAGGAGTTTCTTCTGTCTGAAGCCAAAGAAAAACCCCTTTAATGGTCAGGAGAAGGCAGAAGCCAAGATGCTGCAGGGATACTGCTCGGCAGAAAAAAAAATCCTGCTTTCCCCAACAGAGCAGTGCAATAAGGTGGCCAAAGCAGCAGTGAGGTCCTAGTTACAACAGGGTCCTGGCCTGGCTCTGGAGGAAGGGAGAGCTGTACTTGTGGGGATGACTAGGCTGTATGAACCTAAACCACCTGGTTTGGGTGGCTTTTATTCTCCAGGAATAAGTGAATGGGTTGATTTGGTGATGGAGAAGCAGCAGACAAAAAGGCACAGCCAGCAGGCTTCCTG